AAAACTGTATTGTGGTTACCAGGGGCAATGGGGGTGGGGAGTGGGCACAAGGGGTGAAGGGAGTCATATATATGGTGATGGACAAACCAAAATGTCAACCCAAAATTTCACAATGTTAAAAACTATTAAAACATCAATAAAAAAATACTTTATACATCCTAGAACACTTCAGTATTTATTTTTATTTCAGAAGACTGTGGAATGTTATATAAGATGGTAGTAGAATTAGAGCTCAGATTGCCTGAATTTTTATGTAGTTCATTTTGATTAGGTGTACTCTTAAAATCTTGGCATTTGTTTCATAAGTGTTTAATTGGAATTCGCCTCCGATTTTTCAGATTTTCTACCCCTGGCCCATATGAGCATTTAGCATTTTAAGCATTTCCACTACCATAGGGAATTAACCAGTTGTATCTATTTCTTGTATCTGGCCACTCTTAACCTTTCTTTTAATAGACAAGTACGGTTTGGGATAGTAGAAGTAGAATAATTCTGTAATATCTTGAGACTCTTCTTTTTTTGTTTTTGGTAAGTATTTTAGGAAATTGTTATGGTTTTAAAAAATTCTGCATAGTGCTTACATTTGAAAGAAGAATTTGAAAAAGGGAGATTAACAATGGTATTGATCATTTTGTTTTTTAAAATTAACAATGGTATTGATCCTTTTTTTTAAAATTTCACTTTTGAGATTATTATGCAATTGTAAATATAAAACATTTGTTATTATTAAACTTAGACCTTTTTTTATTGATGTCATAGTTTATAACATGAGATTCCAGTTGTACATTATTATTTGTCGGTCACCATATAAATGCACCCCTTCACCCTTTGTGCCCACCCCCCAACTCCCTTCCCCCTGGTAACAACCAAACTGTTCTCTCTGTCCGTGTTAAACTTAGACATTTTGATGTTAAGAAAATTTGATTTTTTTCCTTGACTAATAGTCTAAGCTCTGTCCTGAAAAGAGTACAGTTGCCCAGTTGGCTTCTTGCCTTGTTTTAAAAAAGAACTATCAATTTATTATGTTTAGATTGGGCTGGCAACTTGAAGCTTTTATTGATGCAGTTGAGAGAGGTTCCCAAAAAGTTAAATTTAGAATGCAGAAGTTTCTAAAATATTTGAGATGCCCATTGTGATGATTGTAATAAAAAAAAACTTTCAATTATGAAAATTTGCAAACATACATGTCAATAGAGAGAAGAGTTTTTATATACCTCTTTGTACCAACATTTGTAAACATATGGACAAAATTTCTTTCAACTGTAGCCCTATTCAGCACTCCCTGGTTTATTTTAAAGCAAATTCCAGATGTATCAATTTCATTGTAAAGATTTCAGTATGTCTTTCTTTTATATACCATCATTGCACTAACCATTATCACATCTAAAATGATTAATAATTTCTTAATGTCATTTAATATTCAGTTCATGTTCAAATTTTTGATTGTTTCATATTTTTGTTTTTCAAAGGTTGATTGGTTTGCTTAAGATTATAAAGTTTACCCATTGTATTTGATTGATCTGCCTATTGAAAGCCATTTATTTGTTGAGGAAACAAGATCATTTGACCTGTAGAATATCCTGTGATCTGTATTTGGTGGATTACTTCCCTCAGATGTCCTTTAACTTGTTTCTTTGTGTTGAATTTCCTGCAAATTGGTAGTTAGATTTCAGATTCCATATGGGGTGGGGGCAAGAATACATCATAGATGGATGGTGCTGTGTTCATCCTATTGTGTCACATCAGGAGACACTTTAGTCTATTTGTGATAAGACCATTGTAGTTTTTAAAAATAAATTTTATTGAGATATAGTTTATTTACAATAAAATTAGCTAGTTTTAAGTGTACGCTTTGATGAGTTTTAACAAATGTGTACATTTTGTATAACCGTCACTGCAATCAAGATGATACCTTATTATCTTGAAATTTCCTCCTTTCCTTTGCAGTCATTCCCTTTCTCTCCAGACCCTCCACCCCCCCCTCCACTAGTCTAGTTTCTATCATTATATTTTTGCCTTTTCTAGAATTTCATTACAAATGGAATCTTATAGTAGTAAGATCGTTATAATTTAAAGGAGATATAGGTTAACAGGATAATTTTGGCCAGGAGCTACAGGTCTAATTCCTTCCATTTTTATACAACAGGGACTTGCCATGAGGTGTTGAAGCCTTGTTTCACTGAGTCGGAGAGACTGGACCTAAATGGCGCAGCATGACTTTGCTCCAGCCTGGCTTAATTTTCCTACTCCACCGTCATCAACAAAGGTACCCTTTCTTGCATCTCACTGTTTTCTTTTTGTCTGTCTGCCTCTTTTGTTCATATTTTGCACAAATGTAGTTAAAATGTGAAGGCTTAATACTTTTGCAAAGAAATACTTTTTCTATTACTAAGTTATTTCATATTTAATCTATTGATTTTTATTATTTAAAAAGTCAGTTTTCAATATACCGTCAGCATACCAAACCATTTACCTCAGAGTTGTCTTTTGTATTAATTGAAGTTCCACACATTTTAATTCAAACTAGTTAGATATGTGGAACATTACTTTTGCATCTTACCTTTTTCTATACTGTTATTCTGATAACTTGCTTTACTTATTTTCCTATAGATAATATGTTCAAAAGAAATCGGAGGTTTCTGAAGTCTTTCCATGTAACCAGAAGACTTCTTTTTCAAATAAATAAGATTGAATGGCACATTACTAAAATTTCAGTAGTGATGAGAACTTTGCAACATTGTTACATATCAGGACTCACTAATCTAAGAAATGTTTATTTTACTTAAAAACCAAAACAGAATAGTTGGTATAAGACTTGCTAGGCATAGAAATTGTCATCCACTTATAAGACATGCTAAGAGGGATCTTGGAATTGGTTAGAATCAATCTACTTGTCTTAATAGCTGTCTTCCACTTTGTTTTTTCCATAGTGCAAAGGAATCAAGAGAAGATCTTGATCCTCTGCTTGCCTACTATGTTAATCAAGCTCTACTATGCTAAGGCATTCATTTAGGACATTTTGGAGTATAGGCAGTACTTATAAAACAGTTTATTAAAAACAGCTCTTCTGGGAACAATTTTATAATTTGGAAAGTTGTTCTCCAATAAGGACTTGTCAGATCATAATAAATTTGGCCCATAATATATTGAAAAAGGTGCATTGGAGTGAGAAAATTCTGTTAGATAATTTTAATGTTTGAAGATGGATCTTAATGAACACATAAACTGACCTTAGTTTTTACAGATGGATTCTCTGGAAGGTTAATTGACTTGCCTGTTTTCACATAATTAGAGTGAGCCTAGACTAGAATCCAGGATGCATTTCCTATTCTGTACTCTTGACTCATTTTGGAATTCTGTACAATGATTCAACATTCCATTTCATAGACTACAAAATGGGATTCGACGTTGTTAGGGAATGACTTCTACTGATTAAGCTACTGAGATCACTTCTTACAGACTCTGCCCCTTTTCTTCTTATGTGTAGGTCTCTGGAATTTGCTTCCTTGTGTCCTCCCCCCCCCCCCCCCCCCGCTGCTCTCCTGTATCCTTTTAGTGGGTTCATTTTTTTTCAGGCCTACTTCAGAGCCTGGATACATATGAGTTTCCTGCTTTCCCCTTTATTTTCTTTTTCTCTTTTGTTCATTTTCTTTGAAATAAGTGTAAGACTTACTTTCATTTTTAAGCAGATTGATAAAAATTACCAGTGCCTGGAAAGTTAGTTATAATACGTTAAAAAGCTTGAGAATAATTTTTGTCTTCATCTAGTTGTTAATCTGAGTTGATTAGTAAGATTGACTGTTGTTGTTACATGTGGTAAAATTCTTACTGCTTTCTAGAACCTGACTCTTGATCTGGATATAGGCCCTCATGAATGATGATAGTGATTTTGAGAATTAGGATTGCCTATTCTAAATTCTCAATTATTATAGTTTATTCTAAATTACCTCCAGAAAATGGTATCATTTGAAACTCTTAACTAGCAGTATTTGAAACTATTTTCTTAGACCTTACCCAGGGTGGTTTTGAAAAACACAAGCATGCACCTTTTAGTAATGACGACTTTTCTTATACCATCTATCTTATCCTTTCGTCTCTCAAAAATCACTATTTATGGATTCTCGTTTATAATTAACCTCTTGCTTTCTGCCAGAGCCCTCTTAATCTTATCCTGAATAAATGGAACGGACATTAATTACTGTTGGGTTCTCTATTCCAACTTAATGGAAGTCTTTCATTTATTTGTGGTTTGAAGAGATGATATGAGGACTTGAATTAAGGGTAAAAATGTTTTCAGAACTGCATCAGTAGTTTTCTGAGGTGTTTAGAATTTTAGCACCATCATGTGGTGAAATTTTAAACTGCATATGGTTGATCTTATGTCTGTGACATAGGACATTGGCTTTTGAACAGTTGATTGGGACCCAGTAAGAAGTAAATTATTATTATTTTATTTTTTGGTGAGCAAGATTGGCCCTGAGCTAACATCTGTGCCAGTCTTCCTCTGTTTTGTATGTGGGTTGCTGCCACAGCGTGGCTTGATGAGTGGTGTAAGTCCACACTCGGGATCTGAACCTGCGAACCCCAGGCTGCCAAAGCAGAGTGCGTGAACCTAACCACTATGCCACCAGGCCATCCCCAAGAAGTAAATTTTAGTAATGTTTTTGTATGCACGTAGATATAACTAAAACAAAAGTCATATAGCTGTTGTGCACTAATATTTTCTCTTGTGGTCTTCTGTTCTTTTGTATTCCATTAGAAAACGCAAATTGCTACTGATTTCATCATCCTTTAATAGGTCCTGACCTGCAGTTTCAAAAGGAGCATTTTTTATTATTGAAGGAATACTGAGCTGAAATGGTTGTAGATACTGAAAAATTTAGATACCTTTTTAGATATCCCTTTGTTTTAGATGCTTTTTCTTCATATCACCTTACTCTAGGAAGGATGATAAAATGATCACTGCACTCAGGCTGAGGTATCCTTTCATAGTAGTAATCCTTTGAAGACGGAAGATCCCAGGGGTATGGTTTTAAAAGAGTAGATGGGTGGTTAGAGATACAAACCGAAAGTAGGGGAATTTTTATTTTTTTTAAATAAACAAAACAAAAAAATAACATGTTTTTTTTTTTTTTTTTGAGAAGATCAGCCCTGTGCTAACATCTGCCAATCCTCCTCTTTTTTTGCCGAGGAAGACGGCCCTGGGCTAACATCCGTGCCCATCCTCCTCCACTTTATATGGGACGCCGCCACAGCATGGCTTGCCAAAGCAGTGCGTCGGTGCGCGCCCGGGATCCGAAGCAGCGAACCCCGGGCCGCCGCAGCAGAGCGCGTGCACCCAACTGCTTGCGCCACCGGGCCGGCCCCAAAAAAATAACGTGTTTTGATGAGATTGCACTACAGTCAATACATTTTCATATTCGTATTCAATATTCTTTACTTCTGTTTCTAAAACAGTAGTGCTTTATTGATTCTTTCATGGCAGCATTTAAAAAATGATTAATAACTATACCAAAACTTTCCTTCATTCATGTAAGCAGTGTCAGCTTGCATTGAAAATATGTGCTGTTTAAACTTCAGGCTAAGAGGGGATTAGAAAATTCAGGCAGACTGGCAGCTGAGTCCATTGAAACTTCTTGTTTACTATGTCGAGATTGTTTTGTTTATGAGGAAGATTTGTCCTAAGCCCACATCTGCTGCCAATCTTCCTCTTCCTGTGGGCCACCACCACAGCATGGCCACTGTCAGATGAGTGGTGTAGGTCCATCCATGCTTGGGAACTGAACGGGGGCTGCTGAAGCGAAGCACACTGAACTTAACCACTAGGCAACTGGGGCTGGCCCCTAGAGTTGTATGTTAATGACTGATTCAGATGTTCTGGGCAACAGAGAGAGAAAATTGTTAAACCATTTTTTAAAGGAATCCAGAAAAAGACTTCAAAGGTATAAAAGGGCAAGGGATAGAGATAGTCTCTTCCTTGCTCATTGTAATCTTCTAATGTTTCTTGAGTCTTTACTACGTACCAATCACTATGTAAAACACTTTATGTGAAGGCTAACGAAAATGTAAGAAAGTAAATACTCTGTTTTTTCCCCCTATTTTCAGATAAGCGAACTGAGGTTGAGAGAGAGAAGTAACCTGCCCCAAAGTGCTAGAACTAGGATAGAAATTTATGTGTGCCTGATTTTAAAATTTATCAGTTTGATAACTTTCTTTTCTTGATTATTAGGTAGTAGACTAATTTTCAGAACTGAAATATCAGGATGCTTTTATGCATATACCAGAATATATTTTTATTCTGGTTTGGATAAACATATGAAATTGCCTTTTTTTCCCCTTCTAGGATGGCATCTCCCATATCTTTCTGTAGTTAGTACATGAGAATCTATTAGTACATGGGACTCTAACTCTTTTCAGTGGCTATATAATCTTTTATTAAGTGGATTTGCATGGATTATTTAATTAGTTACCTATTAATGAACTAAGCTGCAGGAATGTCTGGGCATCTCTTGAATATATTTGTAGGGTAAATTCCTAGCAGTAGAATCAGTGGATTAAAAGGTTTGTACATTTTGATAGTGCCTAATTGCTTTCCCTCCAGAAAGGCTGTACCAATTTATAATCCCATCAAAATTTTGTGAGGCAGCCAGTTTTTTCAATTTTGGCAACACTGGATGTTTTTACATTTTTAAATCTTTGTAAATTTGTATGAAAAACAATACTTCTTTGTTTTGATTTGCATCGTTTAATTATGGTTGAGCATGTTTTTGTTAGGAACTGTTTCTAAGAACTGCTTGTTCATGTAATCTATAATAGCTCTTTTCATATTGAGGCATTTGTTTGCCATATATATTGCAAATATTTTCCTACAGTTTGTTGGTTTTGACAATTTTTTTTAAAAAACCACGTGGAAGGTTTTAATGAAATATTTCAACATACAAAGAAGTATAGAGAATAAGTAAATGAACACTTACTAACCATACAAGGTAGGAGTAGGATTGGATAGGAATTTTTTAGGCCACTGTTCCTCCAACTTTAATGGATAAAAAATAACCTGGGGATTTTGTTAAAATGCAGATTCTGATTTTATTAGGTCTCGGATAGGGCCCTAGTTCTAACAATCTTCAAAGTGATGTTGATTCTGCTTGTCTGTGGACCACACTTTGAATAGCAAGGCTCTAATCTATAGTTAGGAGAAAAATTGCTAGGAGTTGATTAGATATTGCTGAATTCCTCTTCCATGTGGTGTACTGACTTATACTCTTGTGGGCTGTGTATAACTATTCTCTTTACTTTATACTCTTGCCAAGACTTTGTCAGATTATCCTAGTCCAAATTTTTTGCCAGTCTTTGTTACAGGATGAATTTTCTCTGTTTCTTGGACATTGGGTTACATTTCTGTGAATTGCCTGTTCACATCCTTTGTTTATTATTTCTTTGGGTTGCTTGTCTTTCATATTGGCTTAGGAAATACATACGTACATATATATGTGTGTATATATATGTATGTATGTACATGTATATGTCATCTTTAATGTCTTTAAAGTTACATAGTTGTTTTTCAGTCTTGCATGTATTTCACTAGATGTATCATATATTGTAATACTTGTTATTTTAAATGCTATTTTAAAAAGCTTTCTTATTAAGTCTTTGTTGCAGATATATTGTATCTTGTGTTAGTATTGTATCTAGCAACTTGGATTAATTCTTATCCTGTGATGTCTTGGATTTTTTAATATGGACAGTTACTTGTTCACAAATAATATCAGTTTTCTTTCTGCCTTTTCATTCCTGTCGCTTGTATTTCTTTTTCATATTTTACTTTGCTGGCTGTATGTCAGAGTCTCAAAGGTCTGAGATTTTATCCCACTTGCAAGCTAACAAGCTAGCCTGTTACTGTTTCATGAATGCCAATAGAAGACATGAGATTCCTGGGTCAGAGACAAAGAACTTTATTACTCATGGCACAGTAAACAGCATAAGCATGATGTTGGCACTAAAACCTTTGAGAGTTGACCTGGAAGGGCCCAGGTGGATTCTACCCTTGTACTGGGTGGGTAATCTACCACATTTATAATAAGCCTGCTCTTGGTCCTGGAGAACGATATTACCTATCCCTCAGTGTTGCTCTCCGCAAACATAACCCTCAGAAATGGGCCAAATATAGAGCAGTCAAGGCCTTGCATTCTTGGCATACAAATAAGAATGTGCTGGGATGCTCAGGGCCCATGGTGGATTGCCTGTCACAACAATCTGCCCATCAGCCCTACATGTTCTTGGCTGAACTTGAATTTTCACATGATTGTACTACTCTGTCAGGCACTCTGATTAATTTGACTAGTAGAGGCTAGAATCAAATCCATTTAATTTGTCTTATACAGCATTTCATTAAGGGTACTATCAACATCCCAAACAGCAGGATGAGGCCAGGATTCAGCCAACTATGAATAAGTCCTAGGGGGCACCAGTAGATGATTTTTTTCAGCCAGCCAGTATATGGCCTAAGGCCACTCTATTATCCACTAAAATCTACTCAAGGGAGTTTAAACCAACCTGATATTTGGTGTCATTACCTACAATTGTAGGGACAATAGATGGGCCAAAAAGCAGCCCTCATCCTTAATAGAAGACATTCTGTGGCTTATTTTCCCCCGCATACAAGCACACCACCTGAAAGGACACCACTACAGTTGGGATTTGTTGTTAAACTTGATGTGGATTGCTGTTTCATTAGTTTGGTTAAGAAACATGGACATTGTCAACATTAGTTGCAACCTCAGTTGCCATTAATGGCATAACCTAAGACCACTCAGGTGCTAGGAGAATCACATGAATTTTTATCAGAATGAAACAAGGTTGTGTGGGGTTTGAGTGTTCTTTATGCATTCACATTCAGGAGCTGCTGTTGACATCAAGCATAGCAAAATAGTTAAGGACTGTCCATGGCCACATGTATTTTTCTGATTTCAAAGAATATGGATGGGGATGACAAATCTAGCAGTTGGTCAGTGTGTTATCCCCAGCTGCCGTTTGATTCAGGCTGGTTCTATGGCATAGAGAGAGCATTTAATTGTTCTCCTTCCTTCCTGCACCTTCTGGGGTCAAAAATGTTCCCTTTCCAGGTATTGAGGTTTTTGCTCTCCCTCTACAGCCATCAAATCAGTGTGTCCCATTCCAATAGGTCTGACATCGTTTAAAAAAGATCCTCTACTTGCACCCAGATTTTTTTTATCTGGAATTGGATGTGAGTGGGACAAGGACATTTTTAAATAATTTGCAGAGACCCATTATAACCTTCACCTTGTAGGGGCACTGTAGGGGGGACTCAGTGAAAAGTGTTCTCAAGCAACTGGTCATTATCTACAGATCTAGGACCATGTCAGTCCAACAAGAGAATCTAGGTGGCCTAGATTGAATTCCCTAGGTTCCTTTTTGGTTAGGCCATCACCCTGAGGGGTGGCCTGGCCTGCAGGTGCTCTTAGGGGAAAGAAAGAAACATCCTGTTCAGGGATAATCAGGGCAGAATCCTGAATTTTTAAAAGAGGTCTGTGTAATCTCCTAACTTCACTTCTTTCGACCTGATTACTATCCAGGAAGTGGCTAAGAGGAGATGATCTTCTTTTGGCTATTCTGCATTAGTTGACCAAACTGTCTTTCTCTGGTGTGTGAGATGAGAGATGTGGAGTTGTAGATTGTTCTGAGTTCTGAGGAGACTGTTTGAATGCTGGACAATACTGGATGCCTGTGGATAGTGGGGAGTATGGAATGTCCATTGAGTACTTTGAATATTGGCCCATTGCGGGGTGACCTTTTTGACAAAAGATGTAGTTTATTGGACTATTAGTGGTCTGGAACACCAAAAATGTGGATTAATTTCAAGAGTCACAATAGTGTGATCTGAGTTAGCCGATGAGACTGCAGTAGCAACACCGCAACCTGAATAAATTTTAACTGTGATGAGACACCACTGATAGCTCCAAAAAGTGGTCAAAGGTTTGATGTAGTTCCCCTTATGTGATATGGCCTGCTTCACAGTGAAACAAATGGACCAACTTTTGCAGGAGTCACAAGTTGGCATGCAGTGGTGGCTTCTGCATCAGAACGATAAAGTCCTTTATTTTGTGACCAGTCTATTGATAGTGGATATATTCCATGTCTGGTGTGATGATGGATCTAGGTAGCATGCTGCAGGCTTGATGAGCATTTTAATTTCAGTCGTTCTTGATACCATTCACTCTCATCAGACAGCAGTCCTTACTGTGAGTATCTATAGGAGTGACTCAGATTTTCTCAGCAGCTGCAGTTTCCCACAGTTTGAGACCCCAAAGAGATGTCTTTAATCTGCCAGTCTGTAGTTTTTCCGGTGACAGACTAGATGATTAGGCCATTGGCAACAGCCCAAGAGTCAGAAAAATATAAAATGTCTAGTCTTTAAAATATTATTTAAGGCAGGGGTCACAGCTTTCATTTTAGCCCATTGTGCTGACTGGCGCTTACCCATTTGGTTTTCCAGAGTTCTTGGGGCTGGATGGCTGCTGCCACCCAGTGGACACCATCATCTTTTAACTTAGTTGAACTATCAGTGAACCAGGTCCAGGTGTTTAGGGGAACTTCTGTGATTTGAGAGCCTTATTGAACCAGTGGCTTGTTACAGGTGACAGGGAAGGGAATAAGGTTTACCTTAAAGGGTAGTTGCCACTTCTTCAAGCAAAACTGAAATGTCCCTAGGGCCAGGCCAGCTGCATCTTTGAACACACCATTTCCATTTGATCAAGTGCCCTGGTGGGTGCTTTTTTTTTGGTTAGTCCTTAGTTTGATTGTTTGCTTTCAATAAGAGCTCAGCAGTAGAGTGAGAGCCAGATTCACTTTAAAAAAAAAAAGGAATGTATTTGGTGTGTGTGTCAGGCAGATGGCATTGCTGTACTGGGAAATAGCCTCTGAATACTCCAGTAGCTGTGAAGTCTTCAACTGTATCGCTGTCTCTGGTTTTCTTTTCTTTCCTTCTAGGAGCCTATACTCTTTTTGCCAGACCGCTTGAAAGGGGATGGGAATCACCTGTCAACCTGTGGCATTCCCTGAATGGGAGAATCTTGAGCATTTTCAGTACAAGTGTATAACATTAGTACCAACTGTAAAATACAACACCAGTATATTGAATTGGCTTAAAGGCTTCACCTGCAAGATCACTTGAATTTCCTTTTCCTGCTGCTGAATTTTCTCTAAACTCCATTAGTTAAATTGGGATACTAGGGTACCATTTCTCACTATGGGGACACAGATTAAGGAGTTTAGTACATGCGTATCAGGGCTACAATCTAAGCTTTCGGGAGATTACATGATTTCTTCAGCTGGGAGTGTGGGAAAGTGCAGGGTGCAGGAGAAGACTACCCCTTTGGGTATTCTGTGGGTGGCTTGGAGGCTTTTTGTTTCTCTTCTAGCTCCTCAACTCAGGTTTGGGGTTTCCTCCTCTCCTGTGTACCTCCAGGCTCCAGCAAACACCCAGGCTGGTGTCTTTCCTACTCCCATGCACCGTGGCTTTGCTCCACACTCCTCAATACCAGTACTTTCAGCCACCAGCCACCCCTATGCTTAGTACTGTCTTCTCCCTGTGGGAGTGAGTAGGATGGTGACTTGGGTGCCTGTGTCCAACAGAGCTATAAAAGTTTGTCTCCTTCCTTAAGTTCCAGCATACTCGACTTTCTTGTTAAAGTAGCTGAGATCAATGTAGTGGGGAGGGAAGGGATCAGGGAGTACAAAGGGCACAGAACACTTCCACTCCAGGAAGCTAGGCTCTTCATTTACTTTGTTTCCAGTAGGCAGCAGTAGTTCAGCCTTAACAAATTTACTTCTAATGTTCTCAGTTCTTCCAAACTTGATATCCTCATTACTGACAGTATTTATTTCAGCTTTGGAGACCCCTTGATTCAGCAGCCACAGCCATATATTGCCTTTCAGCTGCGACCTCATCGTCATGATAAAACATCTCTTCCTTCTACTTAGAGAAAGTTACAACAACCAGAGCACCATTTGTACACCTTGTTTCCATCCTACCTCTTGCCAGTTGGCCACTAAACAGTGAGGGACCCTTACTCTTCCACCCATCACTTGGACAAGAGCAGTTACTGCCGGATCCTGGAGAGTCTTCTCATATGCCCTAATCTGGCCCAGGAGACCCTTGTCTTTTTTCAGAAAATTTTATTTATCACCAAAACTGTTAGGGTCTGTGAAGGGTCTGGGTTTTTATCCTACTTGCAGCTTAGCAAGCTAGCCTGTTAACTGGTTTCATAAATGCTGGCAGAGACATGAGATTACAAGGACTTTATCTTTCACAGCAGAGCAGCAGCATGAGGATGAGGCGAGGGCCAGTAGGGGAACCAGCACTAATAAGTTCCACAGCGCCAGTGTGGAAGGAACCAGCTGGATGATATGGGTGTATGCAGTGGGTTTGCATTGCAGCTGAGGAACTCCACTCTTTGTCCTGGAGGGAATTGTAACATAAGTACAACCCAGAGAAATTGTCAAGATGTTAAAAGTTGGGAGTTTTGATTGTGATTTTGTCAGGTTAATGGATTAATACTGGGGAAAACCAGCAACTTGTATAAATAGTTATGACTTCTATGTTTTTTATACATTTCTAATTTTTTAAATAGTTTTTACACGTTCTTTGATAAAGTTTTTAAACATTTGCTTTGGGGGAAAGGAATTTGGAAATAAATCTGGAGAACTTAAAATAGAACTGTAGCTTCATTTGTCATAATTTCTGATATTGAAAACCTTGAGCTATTTAAATCAAGTAGCATATGATACAGAATATTACATTTTGTTGTAAGAGAAGTACGCACTATATTTTGCCTTTTTTCCCTTATGGTGGCATTTTACCTTAAAGTTTTTGGGTAAGTAGATGTAGTTGTTGAGCTCTTTCAGAATGGTGCTCTTGTTTCCATTAAGTAGAAGAAAATAGACCAACAATAGAATCCATCTTATAAGTTACCAGTTACCAAACATTGAAAATAAGTGCAAAATGTTCTTCTCAACCATTTAAAATTTCTGGAAATAAACTAAGCCCCAGAGTATTATTAGTTTTTAAAGTTATATTTAGGTTTTATGTGAAGGTTTACCTATATTCTTATAATTTGTTGCAGTCGTCATTGAATTTTGAGAAACATTCTGAAAACTTTTCATGGACAGAAAATCGTTATGATGTGAATCGTCGACGACACAACTCTTCAGATGGCTTTGATTCTGGTATTGGACGTCCTAATGGAGGTAAAATTTGCTAAGGAATGAGAGAGGGTAATTTTAAGGATAAGCTTCTTCATGTTCTTTTAAGAATGTTTTGTGATTGAATCTTTAAGTATAACCATCTTCTTTGAATTTATAATACTTTACCGTTATCAAATAAAGGTAACTTTGGAAGGAAAGAAAAAAATGGATGGCGTACACATGGAAGAAATGGTACTGAAAACGTAAATCATCGAGGGGGATACCATGGTGGAAATTCCCGTTCTCGTAGCAGTATTTTCCATTCTGGAAAAAGCCAAGGACTACATGAAAACAACATACCTGACAATGAAATGGGGAGGAAAGAAGACAAGAGAGAACGCAAACAGTTTGAGGCTGAGGATTTTGTAAGTTTCTTGTAATTTTGATACAAATGAGGTTTCTGCAAGTACCATTTTAGCATCAAGGCTTTCTCTTGAGATTTTAATCAGTATAGCTTATTTTCTACAGAGGTCACTCTTGACGGGTCCAATTATTTTTAATCCTTACATTTTGTAAAGTTTTTGTTCATAATTCTCCCCTCCTCCAGTTCCCTCCCTTCTTCCCTCCTCCTTATTCTTGTGTCTCACTGTGTGGTCTTTAAAAACTTTTGATAAATTTATGCCGTTTTATTCAAAGTGCATCATAATGTTATCTCTAAAAAGCTGTCAAGCTTTTGGAAAGAATGTTTACCAGTGTATTTTACCTAGATGGTCTGTTTTAAGTAACACTTGATTTGTTTATATATGACCCAGGATAGCTCTCCTTGTCTTTCAGCTACTTTCTCTATTCAAAAGTTTCATTGTGGTCAGGGAAGGCAAACTAATTATTACCCTAGGTCAGATACAATTAGGAATGTTAACTCCACTACTGAAAACAAGTATGAACCAATAAGAAACAAAATTTTCTTAATGTTTTCCTTTTCCTAGATCTCACTATGTGGCTTATCTAAAACATTATGCTTAAGTTACATAAAAATTGATCTAGTGTACAATCTTAATATAGTTGTACTATATTAAGTTGTACTATATTAAGAATTCTTGTGATTCATTCCTAGTAATTTATTTTTTTTGTATACATTGTTCATTCTTCATTTAACGTATATTTGAGTGGCTCTATGAGTCTAGCTGTTATTGGCCCTCAGAATACATAGGTGAACAAGATAGGGAAAGTCCCTACTCTCATTGAATTTCTATTCTGTGGGGGACATTCAGAACATAAAAAGAAAAAGTAGTATTTTGCACAGAATTTAGACGGGAAGTTACTGGGTGGCTACTTCGGTTTGGGAAGTCAAGAGAGATTTCTCTAGGAAAGTGACATTTAATCTGGGACCTACATAATAAGGAGAGAGCTTTTAAGACTGGTAGGAAGAGGGGAAGAGCTAGTGCAAAGGCCCTGAGGTCGGAGCGAGCTTGTAGTGTTGAAGGGATAAAAATAAGGCCACTATGGGTAAAGAGTAGTATTAGACCAGGTTAGAGAGGTAGGAAAGGGTTTCAATTGAGCAAGGCTTTTGCAGATAAAGGTAGAGAATTCTATTTTACTTCCAGATGCAGCAGGAAGCTTCTCTGGAGGGAAGTCATGTTATCTGATTTTAGTTTGTTAGTAGACTGTGCCAGTTTTTGTATCTTAAATGGATTACAGTGAGAGCAGGGAGACCAGCTAGGAAGCAGTGTCAGTAGTTCAGGAGAAGGCGATGACTTTAACTGGGTAGCTGTGATAAGTGAAGATAAATGATTTTGGATATGGTTTGGTGGTAGAATGGGTGGAGGGTGGATGTGAGAGAATTTGATAGATTGGATTTAGGGCAGGGGAGTGGTGAGGGAAAAAACCTTCTTTGGTCTTGTGATCAAGTAACCTTGGAAATCGCTATGCCTTCCCATTTTGGTGGTCCATTTTTTCCACTTGCTTGTTAACATAAAATGGAATTTTTATTATATAAACAAACCAGGAATGATAATAGTATGCTCTCACAATGTTGTGAGGATTAAATGAGCGATACACGTGAATCACTTAAATAATGCCTAACCCATAGCAAGTGCTCAATAAAACCTAGTTGTTGCTGTTGTTGTTATTATACCCCATCTCCACTTCTAAGATGGTGGGCTTCAACTATTACAATTCTAGACCTGGAATATAGACCTATAGTGTAATTTCTAATACTTTATTTTTTAAGAAGCATGTATAAACCCCACCAGAGTCTTCTCACTCCTATTTAGTTTGTATCGAGGAATCCTACTGGTATGCATGCATACTCTTTTGGGACTTTGTAGTAATGTCAGTAGAGTGTTAATAATTCACTATTTTGGGTAACTAAAATATTTATATTAACATTCATTTTATTCAACACGTGTTAAGGGCCTTCTTTAAGGCAGGCTGTGTTGCTGGGTAATGTGGAAAATATCTGGTATAATTGCTGGAAGTTTGGGCTCCTAGAGAGTAAATATATCTACTAAGATTAGCTTTAGAGTACGCATTTAATGCTGAACTCAGTTTTCTTTTTAATATCCTGAGCAGCACTTGTTGAAATAAAAGTTTGCACTTTGCTTTGAGGAACGAGTGTGTTAACTAAAGCATCCAGCAATGAAAACTTAACAGAAGAGTTGGGAAACGGTCTGATTTTTCCTCTTCCCTGCTCTTGACCTTATGCTAAGAAAGGATGATTTCTCAGATTGATGCAAAGACTACATTCTCTTGGGTTTTCTCTGTTTTTTTCTTTCTTTTTTTTTTTTTATTCACCCTTTTTCCTTAGGTAGTTGGGGATGAGGAGAATATTTGAAGACACTTGCCTTGTTTTCCCCTGGCTAGGAGTGAGTATAGATAGTAACCATTTTAATGGTTAGCAGAATAAGCTGAAAGTAAGGTTTACGAATAATTAGTCTTTAATAGTTAAGAGTTGGTGATGTCATATCAGGCTTTTTAGTTTGGTTTGAGATCACTTTTAAAAGGATTTATTTTTAAAATGTGAGCAGTTTAAATGTTTTATTCTTTTAATTTCAATTTTCTTTCAGCCGTCTTTAAATCCTGAATATGAGAGAGAACCAAATCAGAATAAATCTTTAGCTGCAGGTGTATGGGGTAAGTAATTTTTAATCTATCTTTGAGGGGTATAAAATGTTATTTTGTAGGTTTTACTTTTTTGTGTTTTTTAAAATAAATAATAGGCTAGAGTTAAACTTTCTCTTTTAAATACCTGCTTTTGATTTGCTGAGCTACAAAAAAAGGTAGCCCTTACCTTTTAAAAACAAGATATTGGGAATACAAGAAGAGTTTGATTTGAAATAGTTGATTTGCACATGTTAGTACCATTAAGTATGCTCATACGAGGTTTTTTTTTTAATGGTCATAAGTTATTGAGTCTGATCTTTCAAGAGCAGCCTGATAATCTAAAGAAACAAAAAACTTAGTTTGATTTTTAGTTTTTCGAAGTTGAAAACTTAACTGGAAAGATAAGTACTTCTAATCATAGTGTGACATAAAATTAATCTTTACCTGCGAAATGGTTATACATAGAGAATATTAAAAATAATTATGTAAATTTGCCTATGGAACTAGCCTGTGATTGAAATTATTTGCCTTTTTGATTTTCAAAGCTTAATGACAATTTTTCTGGTAATAATTCCCTTTTTTTAAAACTGCTGCGAGTTTTAATTTGATAGCATCTTACAGAAAATTAAACTGCACTCATATAGTACAAATTAGACAGCTTTTTAAAGATTCAAGTGAAGTTTAAAATAATGAAAAAATTTTAAATATGAACATTTGAGATCTGAAAAATAAATTTAATTATTTGATACCAAATTCAAAGGTGATGTATCCGCTTTGGAACTTGTACAGATGTTCATTTGTATTTTTCTATTGAAAATCAACAACTTACCAAAACAAAAGGATTGTGGCTTATGACAGCATACTAGTCCTAACAACAAAGGCATTATTTTAAACTTTGCCACTTCCTGTGCTGTTCTTTATTGTATTTATGGGGTGATACTCTAGGGAATTATTTTGTTTTCTTTTGATCTCCCAATTTATTTAAGGGCTTTTTGAGGGTGGGGGTGGGGGTGGTCAGACACTTTTATTAGAACCATGTGAATGGCATTGTTTTTTCTGTATTGCAAATTAGTATTTCTACCACTCTCCCCAGGCCTACACGCCCAGACACACACATACCCAACCAAAAAAATCTCCCAAGCTCCTCTCTTAGGTATGTTTCCTTATTATTCAGTTTTTCTGGGAACAGCTGATTGCATAAGAATATAGAACCACCTAGAAGGTGTTAAATAGAATCTCTAAGAAAGTAGGAGTAATTTGGATTTGATTAGAATGAAAGTAAATAAAAAATCAAGAATGTTAGTGAGCAATTTGTCATATAAAACTACCTTTAGATACTATTGGTACTGCTCCTTGGTTAATTTAATAATTTTAGAAATGATTTAAAGGCAAATACATCTTTGAAAATATTGAGAATAAAATGTATTAATACAAAGATTTTGGTTCTGCTGTTTCAGGGTTGGTCTAAGGATTTTGAGCACTAGTTGAAAAGGTGTTTAAAAGGAAGATGTGCTCTTTACTGTGTCTTAGATAACCTAAGAAGTGTGTCTGCATTAGAAAAAAGAAAATGGTTAACTGTGGCTTGGTTTATTGTTAAATTCCCAGTACTTCCCATAGGAATACAATGAAACTTTCATTGTATTTACACTTCACCATTCCTCTCTCACTTTCCCCTCTGGGTTCCCAAGTATTGTTTTCCCCATTGCAACATTTAAAATAGCTATGTTCCTGAGGAAGACATGAGAGAATTTTAGGAAAGACTTCAATAGAACTTTTCTAGTGCTACTTCCTTCCAGGTAAGTCAAAATTTAATAATGGAAATGTAATGGGTATTAAAGAAACAAACAAACCAGTTTGTCCCGGAAACTATCCTTTTCTAGATTAAAAATTGCAAAGAGTCTAAACATAATATCCCAATTTAAAAAAATACCATGAGGGAAAGTAATTAAGCTATTTAAAATACAGTTATATAAGTTTAATTCTATTTAGAACTTAATTAGCTTTATTGGAAACACCTTCTTGCTGCTTATATCTTTGATTTCTGTAGTGTTTTGATCTTAACCAGGATCACTGTTGTTTGGTGCATAAGATTAATGCTTATTAAAATAATCTATCTCTGTGTCCTTAATAATTTAAAACTAAAACAAAAATTCAGGGTACTTCAGTGTGCCTATGAGAATTTTAAAATAATTTAGTTGTGTGATTGATTTATTTAGGGAGTGAGAAAGAGAGAAAAATGATTTGTGTTTATGTTTGTATGTAATTTGAGACATTAGAGGCAGTTGATTTGTGTGTTTTCAGAAGTTCTCTTGGTATTTTTGTGTTGATGCAGTATGTCAGCAACAGAGCCTAACATTTAGTGCCTAAGATACTAAATAATGAAAAATTTCAAGTTTAAGCATAGTCTTGTTTCAACTCAGCATTTATATTTGTGTCTATTCCTTGATAACTTGATGAAGTTTCCTGATTTTTGCTCATATTTGTTGTACTACTTAAGAGCATCAGAGTTCACTTTTAAGAATTTTGTTTGTTTAGTCTTCTAAATCAAAGCAAATTGATGACTAGTTGTTAAAGATTGGTTGTTTTCTAGAGAATTCCAGTGATATTAACCATAAGCATACAGATTGAGTGACATAATTGCATTAAATGAGTTAGATTATGATGGAAACCAGTGAGTTTTTTTTTTTCCCCCCTTAAGGAACTTAGTAAATGGAATTAAGAGAGGGGAATGATCTTTATCGAATTTCTTTGTAAAAGCATTCTGTTGGTAGATTATTTATGTATTGAAATGACTCTACTTTTCAATGTCTTATGTGAAAACAGTTGTTAGAATTATAACAAGAAGAAAAAGGTAATGCAGCACAAGTTCAGGATTGACAAGGGAAAATTAATAGGGTTTGATTAGACAACTTGACACAAATTTTATTTGGTCAGAGTTAGAAGTATTACTTGTTCTTAATGTAAGTTGTTTTTATTTTAAAAGTATATTTCTTTAAGCCTGTTCTTTTTCATATGAGTAATGTAGGGGACCTTGCTAAAGGAAGAATACTATACTTCTGCTATTGACATAAATTTTAAGTTAGTAAAGTTCACTTGATTAAAATTCTCGTGCTACTATAAAACAAAACAGATTTGGACATGTCTTATGTGACTAAGTTTCCTCCTCATTAGTGTGAAAACTTAATTCAGATACTGTTTACCCATCACTTGGCTATATGCTTTTGTTCACACATTAAAGTTGCCTCTTTTTTTGTGTCAAAATAATGAGAAAACCATATTAGTAATGGCCTCAATGTGATGGTGAAGGAAAGGGTGGACCCTGATGGTACTTGGTAGTGCACACTTACAGACTTTTATTCTGACCATTTAGTATAGCCTTATTATTAGTATTTTTAGTTGGGGATGGTAAACATTTTGAAGTATTTGGCCTAACAATACTTTAATTTTCATTTTCTCCGGTAGTATAATATAGTGGTTAAGTGCATTGGCTTTGGAATCAGAGCTGGGCCCTAACAATAGGTCTTTTATTTATTGGTTATTTAAACTTTGGGCAGATTACTTAATCTCTCTGAGTGAATTTTCTTGTCTGTGAGATGAGGATGATAACACTCCTAATGAGAAAAGCATTGTTAATATTAAATTGTCTACCATATGAAATCCTTGAGCATGTTACAGGTGTTTAGTGAATGTTAGCCAATTATGTTGTTAAAATCCAGTAAGTGAGGGAGATTCTAGTAGATTTATTAAAAGGCAAAAAAAAAAAGGAATTTCTAAGTGATAGATCAAAGAATAAAGTAAAAATTGATTGACTCAGAAAATATATGTATATAGAAGGCAGCTATGTGGAGAGTAGTGAAAGACAGAAAAGAGGATGAGGAATTGAGATGTCAGCTCTGAATTATGCATGTGGCCAATTTACTTTGTATTATACGTGGCAGTATTTTAATTCTGATCTTCCAAAGAATTGAGCCATTCCTCCTCCACCATTGACTTAGTATTTAAGAAATGAAACTAATTATTATATTCATAGATATTGGGAAAGCATGAATATCAAGATAATAAAGGGATATTTAAAGTCAATTATTGTCAGATTCCATTTGTTGTGAGGATAGGGGGAAATAATGATATAAAAATCCAAAACTTATATTTGCCATCAGGTATTTTGAACTTAAATTTGAATGAGAATACCTGCTTATATGAGCTTGACATAATAAAGCATATGTAATTTAAAGAAGGAAATCACTGAGGTCACTTACTTTCGAATTCTTAAGTGTTCAAGTCTTTCCTCAGTATGTAAATTTTCACTTTAAAAGAGTAAGCAATTTGAGTCTTTTTTCATATAGTTTACCAATTGAGAAAGTAAATGGAGAAAGTGTAGGAGGAGACATTGGGTACTGTTTGAATCCAACAGCTTCAGCACTTGACTTGGAAGATTTGTGTCAGGAGAATTTGTTGAGATAATTTATGAATAGATGAACCAGTTTATAAGTAATATAGAATGGATATAAGTGATGCAAATGAAGTTTTGGCTATTTAGTGCTGCCACCTTTTCATTACTTATAATTACCATTAAGAACTCTTGTTCTTAGGGGCCGGCCCCGTAGCTTAGCGGTTAAGTGCGAGCACTCTGCTGCTGGCGGCCTGGGTTCGGATCCCGGGCGCGCACCGACGCACTGCTTCTCCGGCCATGCTGAGGCCGTGTCCCACATACAGCAACTAGAAGGATGTGCAACTATGACATAGAACTATCTACTGGGGCTTTGGGGGAAAAATAAATTTAAAAAATTATAAAACAAAAAAAAAGAACACTTGTTCTTAAATGGGCAGGTTTATGTAGTATATTCAGCATAGTTATACATGACATAGTTTAGTTTTTATTTCTGTTACAATTTTTATCATCTTCCATGCTCTTGTGGATCAACCTAAAAATTCTCAAACAAGGACACCTTTAATTTGAAGTATGATTGGAAGCCAGTTATAGTGGAGATAGTGTATGACTTTTCTGAACATTTTCTAGTGTGTATTTTAAAACATTTCACAGTAACTCTGAGACAAGAACTACTTTCCATTTTATAAATGAGAGATTAACTAGTTAGTAAGGTTGGAGAAAGTATTAAAATTTTGTAAATCTGGTGCAAAAGCACGTGTTCTTAATCTCTGCACTATAATATTTGAATATGGATACTTAATAAGTACATTGACACTGTTTGCTCCTCTTCTCTCCCAATCCCTGTCATCTTCCTTTAGTTACTTTTATCATCTTTTACTTTGCTACCTGCTCTTCTATGACTGATTTCTTAGGCTTTACCTTTCTTCTTTATAGGGTATTCTATCATTCTTTGCACTGAAAGCCTGTTTGAGTTAACAGCCCGAATATTACTAGGTGCCCAGGAGTCCAATTTTAGAAAAGGTGAACTTTGTAGTCAGGAACTATATTGAGGCTTAAACTTACCTGCTGCTTATCTACTTTCCTTCTCTTCTGCCTTCTAGTTTTGATCAGTGATTGCTTATGTACAAAAAATATTTTTCCTTCTTGTACCTTCAGCCTTCCATGTAGGATCATTTTCCTTTTGCCTAAAATACATTGTTCAGGATTTACTTTAGTAAGGATTTGGTAAGGAATCTATCTTGGTGATAGATTTTTGTCTGAAAATTTCATTTCTGCCCTCTGCCATATATGTCATTTCCAAGTCCCAGTCTATAATCCAAGATTCTACAAGGCAGATTAGCCACCTCCTCAGTTAAGTTCTTTGTGCTCCCTCTAAACTGAGGATTTTTCCTTTATTTCTCTGTCTAGAAATGTGGGTTGAGATCACTCCTTGCTGATGATCCTTCTGTTCTTTACTGTTGTATTTGTTTTTCTCCCTCATTATAGTAATTTTAACATAAGGATCTAGAAGGGAAAGAAGATAAATTTTTCTCTTATTTATGTTTAGTTGGCCATATTGAACTGGACGTCTTCATCAGTCATGTTTGAACATATTTAATTGTGGTATACTGATAGAACTTGTCCCTGCTTCAACACTTGCATTCCTCTGAGATGAGACCCTGCAAACTCTTATTACCTTTTGCATTTCCTAGCATCAATCATTCCTCAGACTGAATTTCATTTAATTTAGAATACCAGACCATTAAGATTTTCTTTTATATTTTAATTTGAAGAATTGCTAATTGCAAAAATCTTTTTTTACTGTTTTATTCATGCTGTTATCATCTGTTTAGCAAAAGTAATAATTGCAAAACTAAAATGGTTTAGTACTATTTCTGGTGTTCTTCATTGACCTCTTGTTTGAGATCTTTAGTCTTAATTTTCATTTTGTTGACTTCATTGTGTAAGTTCTTCAGAAAAGCTATGTATTGGTGATAAAATTTAAGCTATGTATTGGTGATAAAATTTCTGTGTCCCTGTGTGCCTGAAGATCTTCAGTCTTCTTTAGTCTTCACATCTTGGGCCCTTTTAGGCAGCCAAGAAGTTAGAATGTTTGCCGTAGTAGATTAACATGTGTTTAACTTTTGGAAGGATGAATCTTTTCTCAGTTTGCCCTGGGTCCTTGTTGTTTTATCCTTCAGCCTTATAATAAATGAAGCATCATACTAACTTTATATTTTGAAGAGTTTGAAGCCTCAGATGAACTGTGAGTCCCTCCATGTCTCTAGGAGTCCTTGTTTAGTTTTTGAGATGATCCAGTAGGAAATTTGGTTTGCTTTGTTTGAGGCAGGGCACCATCACAAATATCTACACAACTCAAAGGACCATATCTTATTTATATGCAGAGCTAATTTTAATTTAGACTTTCTGGGATTTCTCTCTTTGAATTGATTATTTTATTCTAAATCTCCAACTCTGAAACTGATGCTTTCAGAATTTTTCTAAGGGAAGGGGAGGGTGTACTTTATCACAATAATTGTGAACATGCTCGTGTGTAACAGCTGTTTGATTACACTTACATGATTAAACTCTAGGAATAGTTTTTCATATTTCAGCAACTGCAGTAGTCTTGAGAAAAGCTTTAAGTTAGCAACTATAATTTCTAGTACTGTCTTCAGAGGCCTGGATTGAGTTGCTTGCCTTGCAACTCACATAATGCCTTCAGTGTGGTTAGATGGTCAGTAAATATTTGAATGAATTGGTATTGTGAAAGTAGAATTCTCTTTTTCATTAGTTATAACTTAAGTAGGAATTTAGAAATAGAGGGACTGTACTTGCTTATTGGTAATAACTTTATAAGTGAAATAAAAAGAAGGAAAAGTAATTAGAAGAATTCTGTTTTCAAAATGGAGAAGAGGAAAATATAATGTACTTTATATTCCAAGTCTTAAGAGCAATTAGGACGAAATTTGCAATTTTTAAAAAAATTAATGAAAAATATGTTAAAATGTAAGTTAATCTTGATTTGGTCATAGTTAATATTCTAGGCCACTGTCTAGCTGTGTTCATCTGTATTACTTGATGTTGCTCAATTCTTGCTATGATCTGTTCTGTTATGTTTTAGCTTCATTTCTTAAGCAGATAATATAGTTCATACTTAGCTCAATTATTTTTCCCAGGAAGCACCTGTTATTTTTTAAATATAATCAAGGTTTGGAATATACTTTTGGTGGTTTAATTTTATGCTAAAATTTAAACTATTTGTAACTCTTGCTCGTGCTTTATTTGTGCAGAATATCCTCCGAATCCTAAATCTAGAGCTCCAAGGATGCTGGTTATTAAGAAAGGTAATACAAAAGACTTACAGCTGTCTGGATTCCCAGTGGTAGGAAATCTTCAGTCACAGCCAGTTAAGAACGGGACTGGTCCAAGTGTTTATAAAGGCTTAGTCCCTAAACCTGCTGCTCCACCTGCAAAAGTAAGTTCTAAATTGTTAAAAATGCAAGTTTTAAGTTGCTATCAATTGAGTTACTTTGGGAAAAGAATGTTAAAAATTTTACACCAAAGTGTGGGGGTATTGGTGGAGTGCTGACTTATAAGTAGAGAGAGTTAGCTTGTTGTGTGTCATTAATTTTGTTTCTTTAGTGGTATGTCTGTTTGTCCATGTATGTTTTCTTGTTTTACCAGTCGTAGTAAATGGAATCTATAAAATTTTTGTTTTGCTAGGTGCATCTGTGGTGTATTTGCTTAATAATAATATGTAATGCTGTTTCCTTTGTGTTCAGTTTTAGGTTTTTGAAACTCCCACTTGTGTTTTCTTGATATTAGGCAAAAGAAACCTAACTTTATAAAACTTTGAAAAAATAGCAGTGTAGTCAGATGTTCTTATCTGAATACCGAGCTTTGATTTTATTTGTAGAAAAAGACGGAAGAGAACCATGTAGGAATGATTAAGGTGTAACACAAAAATAATTGTTTTTATGAGCCACATATAGTCATCTTTATTTTATAGTGTTCACTTTGTTTTTCACTCTCCTGTATAATCTGTTTTTGATACAGATTAATATTTGTCTGTTTCTCTGTAGCCTACACAATGGAAAAGCCAAACTAAAGAAAATAAAGTTGGAACTTCTTTCCCTCATGAGTCTACATATGGTGTTGGCAACTTTAATGCTTTTAAATCAACTGCCAAGAGTTTTAGTCCATCAACAACTTCAGTGAAAGAGGTATGGCATTTAAAATTATTCCTGAGGAATGTAACACATCCTAATCACGATAATTGATTAACAGTGAACAAAAGGTGTAGATTCATTAAAGGAATTCATTAAAATGAGATATTATGGTTCTTGCAGGAAACTTGAATCAGATTCTTCCATCTGTTTGCTAACCATTTTTGCGCTTCAAATAGGAATGATTTTAAAAATTTTTAACAAAAATTTCCAAATCCCAAAATGTAGAGAAAATAATACAGTGAAACATCTACATACCTATCAACCAGAATGAATAATTTTTAAGAAGTATGAAAATTTCAATTTTGACATTTGTGATAGAGTTAAGTTATGCTGTAGAATTGAACTTTGACCATAAATGAGGATTTGTATTATATAATCTTTGGGGGATGATGTACATTTTATTAGTGTTAACACTCGGGTAGAGAGGAGGAAGAAGAGAGAAAGATGTAGATATTATTATTGTATTGACTTTGAATACATGACAGCTAAAGTATTTTTTTCACATTTTACCTGGTTTCTGAAACTTCTAGACCAGGGAGTTCCCTGACCAGTTCAGAGTCAAAAGACACTTGTGATTACAGTCATGTCACTTAACGACGGGGATACATTGAGAAAATTCGTTGTTAGGTGATTTTGTTGTCGTGTGAACATCATAGAGGGTACTTACACAAATCTAGATAGTATAGCCTGCTACACACCCAGGCTATATGGTACTAATCTTATGGGACCATTGTTGTATATACGGTCCGTCGTTGACTGAAATGTCGTAATGCGGCATATGACTGTATATTGTTATACCTGAAATTGCTCTGGGTTACTGTTTTAGAACATTATAACCCCTCATATACTAGTTCTCAATCATAGGATTTTAGAGCTATGATGGAAGGACCAGCATTCTCAGCTGATTAATTCTGGCTTAGATTCATTGTAGTCTCTAGACGTTATTACAAACAGTTAAGCATTATGATTTATATCCATGGCTTAAAAATCTTTGACACAGAGTTCCAGTGTCCTATTTTCTGTTGCGTTCCACTGTCAAAGCAAAACACCCAAAAGAAAAGGACTCGAGTACGTGTCCCCCCCTGCCCCTCAAATTTCCCCTGGTGAAATCCCACCTGATAAACACGATGTGTACCTGTGTGTAAATAATTATAAAATAGATCTTATTGGAGCTGTTATTAGAACCTTATAACTCTGAAAGACGGTTTAAAAAAGTGCTCTTCTATGTGTTATGGAAATATTTAAACAATTTTAGGATTCATATTATAATATAACATTTAAACTCCTAATTTAGAATCATAGGTCTTACTATTATCAGACCTTAGTTGTTTCTGGGATAAGAAAATTCTTTTGTTTACTCATTCAATAGAATAGATAAAACACACAGGGATAGAGGAACAGTAGGCTTTGAAATAGACTTTAAAATCAAGTTTGTATTGTGAATAAAGGTGAAATAGGAAGTTGTGATCTTTAAATTGGTGTTAGTTCTCTGTCTACATATTTATTAATATTTTTGAATTTTTCTTAGTGTAATCGCTCAAATTCCTCTTCACCCGTTGATAAACTTAATCAGCAGCCTCGTCTAACCAAACTGACACGTATGCGCACTGATAAGAAGAGTGAATTTTTGAAAGCATTGAAAAGGGACCGAGTAGAAGAGGAACATGAAGATGAAAGCCATGCTGGCTCAGAGAAGGTGACTGAACTTGGAGTGTAACTCTTGGTTTGATATTAACGTATCATTGAAATATTTGGGCAGATATCATTTAGGACCTTTGAATAAACTTTAATCAGATTTTCATCTTCCTGAAAACAAGGCTAGCTAACTATTAATGACTTCCTTTCTAAAGTAGATTTTTCTCATTCTGTAGTTCCTGTGCAAAAATAAAACTTACAAAAACTCATGCTCATATTATGTTTTCACCATCTTGCCTATCTTCATCCTTTTGGTTTTGCCTTTGTTGAATAGATGTGAACACATAGAGTCAGAAAGCTGTGGATATCGTCCACAGCTTAGTTGTATATCTTGGGAGAATGTCTCCTAAATTTAATGACTATAATAAGTATTACGTTTATGTGTTACTAATGGAAATCTAACCAGGATCTGTAAAGTTTTTAACAACTGTATTCTCTAACTCATTCTTTTTTTAACTCTCTAAAAATCAGGATGATGACTCATTTAATTTGCATAACAGCAATAGTACCCACCAAGAAAGGGATATAAACCGAAACTTTGACGAAAATGAAATTCCACAAGAGAATGGCAATGCCTCGGTAATTTCCCAACAGATCATTGGGTCTTCAACCTTCCCACAAACAGATGTTCTTTCAAGTTCACTTGAGGCAGAACACAGGTTAGTATTTGTTTTTACAGTTTTTTCTCCGCATTTTCTACATCCAGGATTTTGATATTGTTATAGAAATGTGATTTATTTTTAAACAGTTTTATTAAAATATAATTTATATATCATAAATTTCACTTGTTTTACGTCTACAATTCAAAGATTTTTGGTATATTCAAAGTTATGCAGCTGTCGTCACAGTCTAATTTTAGAACATTTCCATCACCCCAGGAAGAAACCCCATGCTCGTTTGCAGTAACTCTTCATTTTTACTCTCTGTCCTAGGCAACCAACACTCTACTTTCTGTATCTATAGATTTGCCTTTTCTGGATATTTTATATAAGTGGAATCATACAATATTTGGTCTTTTATGTCTGGCTTCTTTGGCTTAACGTAACGTTTTCAAGGTTAATCCATGTTGTAAGCATGTGTTGCCACTTTGTTTCTTTTTATTGCCAAATAGTACACTGAATGGTTCTACCACATTTTGTTCATCAATTGATGGATATTGGGTTGTTTGTACTTTGTATTATGGATAATGCTACTATGAACATTCATGTACAAGTTTTTGTATGACCATATTTTTATTTCTTTTGGGTAGATACCTAGGAGTGGAGTTGCTGGGATATGTGCTTAACATTTTGAGAAACTGGCAAATTATTTTCCAAAATGACTGTACCATTTTACGTTCTCTTCAGCAATATGTGAAGGTTCTGATTTCTTCATATTCTCGCCAACACTTGCTACCATCTGTCTTTTTGATTATAGCCATTCTAATGGATATGAAGTGGTATCTTTTTGTGGTTTTTAATATGCATTTTCTTAATGACTAACAGTGTTGAGCATCCTTTTATGTACTTATTAGCTGTTTATATATCTTTGGAGAAATATCTGTTGGAATTCTTTGCCCATTTTTAAATTGCATTATTTGTCTTATTATTGAGCATTGTAAGAGTTCTTTTTTATAGTTTAGATTTAAATTCCTTGTCATATATATAATTTGTAGATTTTTTTTCCCATTCTATGAGTTGTTTTCAGTTTCTCGGTGGTGCCTTTTGAAATGCAGAAGCTTTTAGTTTTGATAAAGTCATTTTATCAGCTTTTTTCCTTTCATTGCTTGTGCACATTTTGTGTGTGTTGTGAGGTAGGGGTCCAAGTACATCCTGTTCCATGTGGATATCCGGTTGTCCCAATGTGTGATTTATTTTATTGTAAACTCTCAAGAGCACTTTCTGCTTCTATCATTATAGTCTTAATAGTCTCAGAATTGAAAAGTATTCAAATGTAGAGTGGACTTTTGTGTTTATTGTTCTATGATTTTATGGTTAAGAGCAGGTGTTTTTGCAGAAAAGACTTACTCTTCCTATGGTTTTGAAATAAACCACATGGTTTAGCATCAGTATGTGAAAGGTTGGTCGACTTCTCACTTCCTTTTGTGTGTGTGTGTTTGAATGGAGCACACTTTCACTGAAGCTTTAATTGTGGTACAGAAATACAGTTCAGCTGATGTAAGTCCAACACCATGAAGGGAGAAATTATAGCACCAAAACTTTCCCTCCTCTTATTATGCATACTAGGATTAATTTAGATTACTAGTCAGTCTATAGTTTTCATTTTTCTATGCTTTGTTCCATACATATTTGTGCAGTTTTTCAACATTAGCTAGAATTCTTAAATCTATTAGTCTCAATTTTTAATACCTGGATTATAACTATTAAAGCAATGAAAAGTTAATTTATGCATTTATATTGTTATATATTACTCTAGAATTGCTGTGTATAAACTGAATTTTTTTTCCACTAAAAATTTTTACATCCTCTAGGACCAGGCTCAGTTTGGGCTGATGCTTGTTAATAGCCCAGTTTGATTGACTTGACTTTTTGTTTGGTTTAATACCAGTTCTCCTAGTACTTCATTTAATTCCAGGATAGTGGAGAACTGGGTTATACCCACTGTGGAATAACTTCTTAAAAATTTGTTTATCATTTCAACTTTTATTTTCATCAAGAATCTAAGCTGCGTGAGGACAGAAATTTTGTCCATTTTGTTCACTGCTGTATTCTAGCGCCTGGAATGGTGGGTGCATGGCACATCACTGTGTGCTTAAATTTGTTAAGGGAGTGAGTGATGTAACAGTTCTAGTATTTTTCTATCTACTCTGTAAAACTGTGCTTATTTTGAGAGAATATTTCTTTTATCTCAAATTTATAATATTTTAGTCTACTTTTCTCCTGCCCATGAGATTTATAACCTTTATTATTTTTTTTGTGAGGAAGATCAGGCCCTGGGCTAACATCCATGCCCATCTTCCTCCACTTTATATGGGACGCCTGCCACAGCGTGCCCTGACAAGCGGTGCATCGGTGTGCTCCCAGGATCTGAACTGGCAAACCCCGGGCAGCTACAGCAGAGCGTGTGCACTTAACCTCTTGCGCCACCGGGCCGGCCCCCATGAGATTTATAACGTTTATTAAAGATCCCTTTAAGTGTTTATTTTTCTCACTCAATTCATACATTATTATATCTCTGTGATCATTTTTGTTCCCTTTTACCAAATCATGTCCTGCTCTTTCTTGTAGATAATAGCTATAATTATGGTATATGAGAGTATAGGCATTTATTTTAATTTTGTAATCCTCTTACACTAACTTGCACTACCTTTTGCCTTAAAATAATTTATTGGGCTGATTATAAATGTGAGTGTCCATTTGATAAGAGTTAGTTTAGCTAGATTAATTTGGAGCTAGCTTAGCTAGGTATTATCTATAAATTCACTTGTTTGGGTAAACAAACTATATTTTATTGTACATTTAATATGAATAGATGAGTAACTACACTTTTTATTCTCACCCAAGTTGTGAAATTCCCTTTTACCTCTTAATATAGTTCATGCTTTCTGACTCAGATCTATAGGCTGAGTAGTGACTGCAATGTCATACCATGTAGAAAATAATGGTGAATGTTAATTCCTTTTTAAAAAGGCAGGCATAAATAGAAATTCCAGTATTTTTTCCCACCATTCTAGTAGATCATCTTGTATCCTCCCTTTGAAGCCACTGTTCTGTAGTATGGATATAATTTGTGAAATGATTTCCCTATTGATCAAGATTTAGATGTCCCCCTACCCCCTTTCTTTCTCCTCTCTCTCTCTTTCTCTCCCTCCCTCCATCTGTCTCTTAAAATAATGCTGGTGTGAGCATCCTTGTATTCATATCATTGAACATTTGCATAAGTGTATATGGAGTAGATTACTGGGAATGAAGTTGATTGGTCAAATGGCACACACATTTAAAATAATCAGATACTACAGTGTTATTACCCAAAAATGTTCGGCTAATTTCCATTCTCAGCAATAGTCGTTTAAATATTTCTAGTCAGACAATTGGTGGAAAGGAAGAAAGCCTGTGCAGAGAAAAGAAGTAACAAACCAGATGTTCTAGTGGTAGTAGAAGATGAGTTCTCTTTTAGGGAGATACAGCATAGGCAATAAAAGAATAAAGGTAATTTTTTACCTGTAGAATCTTTTAAAGTTATACTAAGAAAGTTGACACTTAATACCTTTTTGTTTTCGTATTTCCTTTCAGTATTTTGTAGTAAAAGAAAGTTGAGCCACACTTTTTAGAACATATTCTTATAACCCCTAATACCTGTAATGAATGTTTTAACTGTTTTATTATTATTTTTTAATCTGCAGTCATATATTTAGTGTAGGAAGCATTTTGGTGGTTTCTTGTTTCATTTATGAAGACTCAGGGAAGACTTTAGTTCCATACCTTGACAGAGTTTGGTTCTCTAGTGACTACTAACTAACAGGAGAAAATAGAATGGGATTTAGGAACTAAGCCAAATAGAGCTGGAGAAAAACACCCTAATTTAGAATGAACCCTGGAGGGGAGGGCATGCTGCGTAAAGAGATACCAGTGATGACTACTTGAATGAGTATTTCATTATATATATCTTTGTTTTTTGTTTTGTTTGGTTTTTTTAACTTATTTTAACCCCTCAAGATCTTGTAGATTATTTTGTGTAAATATTGCACATGCTAAAAAGGATCCTGAGTCAGCAAAAGGATGAAGTAAAGGTGCTACTGATTTGAAACCATTTTAATTTAAATTTCTTATCTTGAATTTTCTTGACTGCTTAGTACAATCAATATGTGTTTGTAAGTGCTCCAAAGACATACATTAATAGATTTTTTGAGGTAACAAAGTAATGTCTTCTTTTAGATTTCAGGTTTTATTTCTGTGAAAATGGAGTGATACTTCTTTCCCATGGCTTCACTTCACATTTTCTGTAAATTATGTGATTCTTAAGTTATGTACATATTAAATACTTATATTAGTTGAATTTAACAAATCAGGTGTATAGTGATACAGTTCTCAAAGAGGACAGCTCTTTTGTTCAAATATGTAAACTAAAATATAAAATATGAAATAATCAGGCACATATATTATCCTTAGTTTTATTGTGAAGTTTTAATATATCATTACAGGGTATCAAGGATAGCTTCAACTATCAGAAGGATAGTTAATTTATTTAAGCACCAAATGAATTAGTAGTAATGAGTGCCAGAGAAATTCAAGAGAGTGGTAAGATGGCATTGTGGCTTGAGTACCAGTCAGAAGGTTTTAATTGGGACGTAAATTAAATCTTAAAGGGTGAGATAGTGATACGGGCAAGGGTACTGGGTAGTCATTTTGGAAGAAGAAGGGGTGTGAAGAGTTGTTTAGAGTTGAATACATACCTAGTTTGTTTTAGGGTTGGTGAATGGAATATCTTGATAGGAGTGTGGAGTCCTTAGTGAAATTAGAGATGATGTTGAAAATGCAGGGCCTTAGAGATCTGTTCAAACTTCTTCAGTGCCTCAGATGAAGAAATAGCTCAGGGAAGTGAAAGAATTGTCCTGTGTTTTATACCTGGTTTGTGATAGAGTAGGAATTGTGACCCAGGTCTTCTGCTTCTAATCCTATGCTTTTCCTAATGGAAGGAATTTGAGTTTGTGGTCATGGTGGTGAAGTTAAGAAGTTTGTTCTTTAGAAAGTGGGAAACCATTGAAAATACTTAGCAGAGGGTGGTAATTGTGAAAGTTGGTAATTTGATTTGGTAATAGTTTGAATGGGAATGGGAAGAAATGCTAATGAAAAGGCTAAGCGCAGATCACTGTTACAGTATATTCCTAATTGTGGGGAAAAGAGAAATACATAGAATATTTGTTTTGAAAGCTATTCCGGAAACAGTTAACAGTTCCAGCCTCTGGAGAGAAGGGGAAAGAGGGGAGAATGGATAGTTAGGAATACTTGTATAACATCTGAAATAATTTGTTCCATCTGCATTATTGTTTAGTTAAGATTCAGTTTTTAAAAGTGAAACAAGTAAGAGTAAGGATCCAGCAAAAGCAGTTAGATTGTTTTACCAGTCTAGATCTGTAGACTCAGGACTATGTGGCGTTGGAAATAGAAGGGCCATTTCACAGGGTGGCCATCTAGGTTAAAGAGTAAAGACAGTGCATTGGAAAAGAAAAATGATTAAAAGAAATGAAAGAAATAGTAATTAACAATGCCTGTGACATTTTGGTCTAGAGGTAGCAGGGTTTGGTGTAATATGTACTAACTTGGGAGGCGGAAAACCAGAATTCTATTTCTTTCTTTGTAGTCAAGTTATTTTACCTTGATTTTTCATCTGTAAAATATGGGTATAGTGTTAAATTTATTTGGAGTCTCTGAGCACTGATACTCTGTGAGATTGTTTGAAAAAGGTATAAAAGTCTACAAAGTAGCTAACTTGTGGCAGGCTCAAGTTGAAAATAGGTGTAAATGAGTAAGTGTAAATAGGAGTAACAAATACTTAAGAGATGTAATTACTGAAAGAAAAAAAAAAAAGCTGGTATAGTCAGACCGACATTAAGATATGTGGCCATATAAGAAGCAGAAACTGAAGTTATCGAGTCAAATACAGCAACTATAGCTACAGTGTTCATGTTTGCCCACCTAGAGAAAAGTGCTTGGTTCCCTCTTAATCTTTTTTAGCTCTATTTGCCTAAGATGGAGGTATGCTCTTTAAAAATTGGAAGGAAAAGAGAATAACTATATTAGTCATTTTACTTAGGTCCTGCTTGAGAACTTTTTAGAAAGTCCTCTTTCTGTTACTATAAAACATAGCCTCTTTCACATTGAATTATGTGTTGAGGATGATGACTGGCATGCCCCTAAGAGGTGTTATCAATAGATAGATAAATTATAAAATGCAAGATAGGGTAAGATAGCCCAACCTTTTGTTTTCAAGGTAGAAGACCTAATGAGTAGCTAAGACTATGATGGATTGTGGTGGTATTAAAGAAAATGGGGAGGAGTATTGCTTTTACTTTTAGTACAACAATTCAGCAAATTTTCTTCATTTTCTAGCCTGGCAAACCTCTGACACCAAAGATAAAGCAATTAAACACTTCATTTTGATCTTACTATCTAGGATAGTTTATTAGGCTTAATCTTACCTATTCATTTTCAGAAAGAAAGTCAAAGCATAAACTCACAAACCCCTTTTTGTGTATTTTTGGGAGTTTGTATAGTGGATCGTGGATTGTGTTTTCTTGCACATAATATAAATGGAATTATCCTACTTGAGTGAAGCTCTAAATTAAATTTATTAATTTCCTCCCTTCTTTTCAGATTGTTAAAGGAAATGGGCTGGCAAGAAGACAGTGAAAATGATGAAACATGTGCTCCCTTAACTGAGGATGAAATGAGAGAATTCCAAGTTATTAGTGAACAGGTAAGAAGACCTGAATCATACATGTTTACTTTATATTGCCCTTTCTTAATCAGAACAACACACTATAACTAAGCATTGTGGGGGAGGGGTTTACACGGTTCATAGGAATTCACTAGACATCACACTGTAGGTTAGAATTGCCTTTGTTTTAAATAGGTCTGCAGTGATGTTTTCTTTAAATCTGTGGGTGTTTAGTGCTTAGGAATTAGTGTGAACAATATGTCTATGATTTGTCATTTTCCAGACTTTTTTTTTTTTTTTTTTAATAACTTGGTTATAAGAAGTAGAAAGCATCCATAGATCTCAAATACCTTCACATTTTATCCTTTCCTTGCATAAGAATACTTCATATTCTAAAACATCTTGTTTTATACGTCTCCATAGTTTCCTTTTGAAAGAGTATTAGGAAATGTTTGATAGAGTGTCAGGAAGTTGAGATGTTTTTCCAAATCCATTATAGTTTTTTTTTAATGGTTCTGGTCATGCAGAAGTGGTTTTCTGTATGGAGATGTTATAATTGATATTGTAATCTTCAAAACACTTCTTAAATGTTTTGAATGAGATCTTTGAGGAAATTAGTTAGCTTGACTTCATAATAAAATAGACTAGACATAATAAAATAAATTTTTTAAGGTTGAATTTAGTATATTGACTTTTTTCACAGTAGTTTCACACAGTTCTGTGACTGACACTAAGTACAGTCACATTGTGTGCAACCATTACCACCATCCACCTCCAGAGCTCTTTTCATTTTGTAAAACTGAAACCGTGTACCCATTAAACTATCACTCTTCGTTCTCCGCTCCCCTCAGTCCTTGGAAAGCACCGATCTACTTTCTGTCTCTGAATTTGACTACCCTAGGTACCTCATAGAGATTGTGTCATGCTGTATTTGTCCGTTTGTAACTGGCTTATTTCACTTAGTGTAATGTCCTCAAGATTCATCTATGTGGCATATGCCAGAATTTCTTTCCTTTTTAAGGCTGAACAGTATTCCAGTTTATGTATATACCACATTTTGTTTATCCATTCATCCATTGATAATTGGCTATTGTGAATGATGCTGCTGTGAACATGGGTGTACAGATATCTCGAGTCCTTGTTTTCATTTCTTTTGGATATATACCCAGAGTGGATTTAGTGGATCATATGGTCATCTATTCTTAAGTTTTTGAGGAACCACCATACTGTTTTTCCATAGTAGTTACACCATTTTACATTCTCACTAATGGTGCTCAAGAGTTCAATTTTTTGTTTGATAATATCCATCCTAATCAATGTGACGTGGCATCTCATAGTGGTTTTGATTTGCATTCTCCTATTAATAGTGATGTTGAGCGTCTTCTCATGTGCTTATTGGCCATCTGTATATCTTCTTTGGAGAAATGTCTATTCAAGTCCTTTGCCAATTTTTTTTACTGGATTGTTTGTTGAGTTGTGGCACTTCTTTATATATTCTGGATATTAACCTCTTATCACATGTATGATTTGCAAATATTTTCTTCCATTCCGTAGGTTGCCTTTTCACTCTGTTGAGTGTGTCCTTTGATGCATAGAAGTTTCATATTTTGATGTAGTCCAAATTATCTTTTTTTTTCTTTTGTTGCCTGTGCTATTGTTGTCATGTCCAAGAAATCATTGCCGAGTCTAATATCCTGAAGCTTTCCCCGTATGTTTTTTTCAAGTGTTTTATAGTTTTAGTTCTTATGTTTAGGTCTTTGATCCATTTTGAGTTAATTTTTATACATGGTGTAAGGTAAGGGTCCAACTTCATTCTTTTCCATGTGGATATCCCTTTCTCCCACTACCATTTGTTGAAAGACTATCCTTTCTCCATTGAGTGGTCTTGGCACCCTTGTCAAAAATCATTTGTCTGTTTTTCAAGGGTTTATTTCTGGGCTTTCTACTCTGTTGGTCTTTATGTCTGTTTTTATGCCAGTACCATACTGTTTTAATTACCACAGCTCTGTAATGAATTTTGAAATCAGAAAATATGAAACCTCCAACTTTGTTCTCCTTTTTAAAGATTGATTTGACTATTTGGAATCCCTTGAGATTCCATATGAATTTTAGAATGGGGCTTTCTATTTATGCAAAGAATACCTTTGGAATTTTGATGATAGGGATTGCATTGAATCTATAGATTGCTTTGGGTAGTGTTTGCATTTTAAGTCTTCTAATCCATGAGTATGGGGTGTCTTTCCGTTTATTGGTGTTTTCATTTCTTTGAGCATCGTTTTGTAGTTTTCAGTGTAGAAGTCTTTTGCCTCCTTGGTTACGTTTATTCTTTATACTTATTCCTTAGTATTTCATTCTTTTTAATGCTGTTGTAAATAGAAGTGTTTTCTTAATTTCCTTTTTGGATTGTTCATTGTTATAGAAACACAGCTGATTTTTGTGTGTTGATTTTGTATCAGAAAAGTTCTTACTTTTTTTGGTGTGAAATCTTTAGGATTTTCTACATAAAAGATCATGTCTGTGAACAGAGATAATTTTACTTCTTTTCCAATTTCATATTTCTTCCTTCACAATTTAAATTTTTTATTCAGAAGTTCTTAATGAACCATGTTCTTTTTCACAACATGGTTGTGAAGCTGATCATGGATAATAGTTTTGAAGGATTTTTATCATGTTTATTATATTGTATAATTCACATGCAAAAAATTCACTTTAAATGTACAGTTGGATGAGTTTTAACAAATGTATATAGTTGTATAACCATCATCCCCCAAAGTTCCTCATTGTTCCCCTTTGCATTCAGTTCTTTCACTCCCAGCTCCAGCCCCTGGTGGACGCTGATTTGTTTTCTGTCCCTGTAGTTTTGCGTTTCTAGAATGTTTTCATAATTAAACCATATGCCGTATAGTCGTAGGTCTGGCTGATTTCATGCCTTTGAAACTTACCCATGTTTGGTGAGTAGTAGTCCACTGTATGGATTTACCAGTTTGTGTATCTGTTTGAAGGATTTGTTTTGAATCTGAAGAAAGGCATCAAGAGAAAATCCTTTGAGTACCATTAACATAAGGTAGTTGTTCTAAGGAAAGCATAATATTGTCTGACTAAAATGATTGGCTTTAAAACCTTGTGATGACTGGGCAGGTAGATAAAACCCTATTGATAATAAAATAATTAACTGATATAAAAATTTTGTGCATATTATGGGTTGGAGAGCAATGGCATGTAAGTATAATGTCCATATTTTTCTGAAGTAATGATAAAGACATGGATATATTTATATTCATGATGACATGTCATTTGACATTTAGATGCCTGAAAAATCATTAGGGCTTGATGATGTCTATAAAAGGATTTATATTATATCTGGTAACAGAGGAGAATCTCAGTTCAAACTCCCTCTCTTCAATTCAGCAAACATTTACTGAGTGTTCGTTATGCCCAGGATATTATGGAGTTTACAGAAATGAGCTCCTTCATAGGGCTAACGGTTTAATGAGGGTAGTTAGATTCCCATATAAAGCAGAATGTGATAGCAGTTTTTAAAATGTTTAAGGTGAGGACAGGAGAGAGAAGGTGTCATGCAAATTTATCAAATGTTTCGAGTGTCTGCTACATACCAGACCCTGTTCTGTAATGCTGGGAAAACACAAAAATTTTTGCCCGTATAGAACTTACGTTCTAGTAATTAATCTAGAGATTAATTCCAGTTGCAGTGATCTGGGAAAGCGTAATTGAGAAATTAAATTTGAATTGGCCTTTGACATGTAAGATGAGGGAATGACATTCCTGGTATAAGGAGAGAACAAAGGCAAAAAGTAAGAGTTAACAGGGCATACTGGGGTTCACAGTGGCTGGAGCATGGGGTAGAAAGTTTTTCATGAAAGATTATGATAACAGTAATAGGTAGACTCAGTCCTGGTTTGCCCTAGAGAGTTCTAGTTTATGCTTGTTATCTTGGTGTAGTTATTAATAGCAAGTGCTTACTTTGATTCTCAAAAGTGCGTAGTTTGAATGATAAATTTCATGGCCTCCCTCATTGTGAGCAACATTATGTGAGCTCTTAATACCGTTTAGGTATTGTGCTAAGTGCATTTTTGTAGGATTTGTATGGGGGTAGGTGCTGTTATTAGTCCTCCTGTATAGATGATGAAACTAAGGCTCTTAGAAGTTATGTAATTTTCTCTAGGCCATGCAGTTATCAGTAGTGGAGCTGGAAGCTGAGCCTAAGTCTGGCCGACTTCATAGCCTGTGCCTTTAACCATGATATAAAGTTGGAAAAATATATTGTGGTCATATTATGAAGGTCTTTGTATGCCATGTCAGGAATATAAATTATATTCTATGATAGGAAACGTTTGCAATATTTTTTTAGGGATGTGAAATGATCATTATTTGTACATGAGGAAGTACAGGTGTAGTGTAAAGTGTACATTGGAAGGATAACTTGGAAGACTAGAATCAGGGTGATTTGTTGGGAATATATTGTGATAATTAGGGGAGGGATAAATGAGGTCCTAAAGTAGAGAAATAACAGTAAAAAAAAATGGATCTTGATAAGACTAAGAGATCTGCAATATAGAACCAGCAGGATTTTGAAATTTCAACCTATGCACTGATAATTGTATCATTATTATAAAGAGGAATACAGGAGGAGGGGGTGGTTTTAGGAGGTTTTTTTTTTTAAACATAGTAAGTTAGATGGTCTTGGGGATGGTGCCAAACATTTAGAGAAATCAGAGATAAAGATTTAGATTTGGTTTTTATCACAATTCTCCACAGCTGATTTCAAGCCATGGGAAGATTAGGTGGCATTGGGTGATAAATCATGTGAAGCAAGGATAGAACTTTGGGGCCTAGACCTTTAAAAGAGGGACAAGGGGTATTTGTAAGCATCACCGTGGCTGAGAACACCAGAGGTGGATACATGCTTTTTGTCGGTAAAGAGATGGGAGGTCATTTGTTCAGAGTGAAGCGAGGTAGCTTAAATTTTATAATTTAGGCGGAAAAGAAAATCTGCTGTGGAAAATAGAGAATTTAAATAGGGAGGGAAAAAGGAAAATTGAAAGCTAAGACCCTAGACTTGATATTTCTAGTTTGTCAAGGTCTATAACAAACTGAATTAGCTATGATATAAGTAGCTCTTTGGGTTTGGATCTTATTCTAATCCTCAAAATTAAAAAATGCCTCTAGAATGTGAAACCTATAGACAGTTCCAAATATTAACTTACTATATAACTGGATTTGGTCTTAGAGAAGATTGTATTTAGAGATTTTGATGATAATGACCAGAGTCAAACATTTTTCATGACAAATTCAAAAGGTCTGAGTTAATAGAGTTTATGTATGTTATCATTATTAATTTAACTTAGTTTTGTATCTTTCAACTGTTGTTAATTTGGTCCAACACCTCCCCTCCCCCCATGTGATCTTTGGACCCAATTCTTATTACCATACTAACCCTTTAGTTCTGATTTCTCATTTTCAGAAAAAGAAGACTTATTTTTTCCAGTATCTTAATCTCTGTGGTTAAGCAAAGGGCTCTATTTGATTTTGTTACTTTGTATACCTTACTTGAATACTACTTACTGGAATAGTTTATATTCTACTAATTCTACAAAGTATGAGTGAAGCAGATTGTGGAGTGTGTTAATAGCCCAGTTGGATCAGAATAATAAAAATAACAGCTATAGCTTAATGGTTGCTGATTATGTTCTGGGCAGCATCAAGGTATTTATCACAATTTTCACATAAGGAAGTGAAAATTTGTCAGGGTACCTTAACAAGTGACGCAATTAGGATTCATACCTACCCTGTCTAAATCCAAAATCTGTGCTCTTTCGGCTATACTAATACTATACACTGAATGATTTTTTTTTCTTAGTGGTTTGGGAGATGGTAAATGTGGTTTTCCCAAAGGTAGTGATTTATTCATAGGAAATACTTTGTTAGATCAGTTGGGTCAATTACTTGTATCTAACTAGTTTTTCAGAAATGATACTATAATCTGGAATTTTCAGGGTAGCATACAATTTTATTAACTTTGTTGTATTCATGGTTACATTTAATTATTGTAGCATTCTTTGTAAGCGACTCTTGGAGGATAGTTTATTTATTTAATTAATTTATTTTTGACATTTTAGTTACAGAAGAATGGTCTGAGGAAAAATGGTATTTTGAAAAATGGCCTGATCTGTGACTTCAAGTTTGGACCCTGGAAAAACAGCACTTTCAAACCCACTATTGAGAATGATGACACAGAGACAAGTAGCAGTGACACATCAGATGACGACGATGTGTGAAGGATTTCCTAACAGCTTTAGAAATTTTAGTGTGATACATCTCTCATACAGTTTGGGGTGAATTGTAAAAATGAAGAACTGTAATTTATGTAGTAAAATACCCCATTAGAAGATGATTTTTTGGGGGACTTCAATATGAAGAAAACCAAGAATGTTGTGTTGGGCTGTGTTGAACATTATTTCTTTGTAAATGAATGTTGTAGAAATGAGGACTTTGGTTGATCCAACATTGACTTTCTTCATCACTGCAGCATTTCTCTGACTAGCAATGTGACGATGTAACAAATGAGACTTTCTCATTTAATAATAAAAAATTGTGTAATGTTTTGCAAAGCTTCTGTCTTAAAATGTCCAGGTCTTAAGAAAAAAGGCAGCTTACACTGTTTGCTTGCAGAGTCATATCTTTTTCGTACAATGGAAATCCTCAAGTCCACTTTGTGCGCCCTCCAACCCGGTTCCTGCCGCCCCCGCCCCCCCCCCCCCCCCGGACATTTTTTAAA